CAGTTCCCCTGAAGCAAAGGTTTCCCAAAGCGCAGCCTTCCTCTCCGCCGGGAATGCGGTGCAAGCAGACGGCAGCTCCTTCCACAAGCTCTGTAAAAGCCACTGGACTAATATTCCTCGGCTCTGGCTGCCCTCAGGGGATCTGAAAAAGCAAATCACATGGATAACAGCTGCCCTTCTAGCAGTAGGCAAGTTTTGCTGGACGGACTCCTCTGTATAAAATAATAATTGAAAAGGCCTTTCTAGTGAGCTTCAGGTCTTCGTTAGGAAGCATTTGTACATTATATTCAACAAATTAGTGCAGAGAATGCCTAAATGTAGCTTAGCCTTCCTCAGGTTCTTTAGTATTAAGAAATTTCTCCTGAATTGCACTGTAGTATTTATTACTTACAGTGTAATATCTCCCTCTCTTGCAAATGATATGTACTTAGGGGTCGGAGTGAAACCATGAAAAGGTGATGTACATGAAATATTTCAGAAGGACCTGACATGTCCCCTGGATCATACTGGAAAGACCCCAGTTTCCAGGCTAAAGGATGTTAAAAACAAATAAAATAAGTGTGTGCAGGAGCCAGTTCCTTGCTGGGCCGTAGCTCCTGCTGCGGGACCTGCTGCTCTGGGCATCGCCCCCAAGGCCCAGGGAGAAGGGGACGGAGGAACCTGTCACCGAAGCAGCTCTCCAGGGTGACTGGCAGGGGGAGGTGGGAGTTATTTTTAAGGGATTTGGGAAACAAAGAGGACTCAAACTGTGATTTTTGTCATGCCTCCTGAGCTGGAGAAGGGCATATTGGTGAGTCTGGCTCTGTGAACCGTATAAATAACTGTTTGTTTAGCGAAGCATTATATGCATTGTTTTTCAGCTAGCGTTTCTTGCCCTTTATTCATAGTCTTTTCTGTGCTTTCTTTCTTTGTTTCTTCTGTCTCTTGCTTTCTCTCCCCTGTCCAGCAGGCCTCCTATGCTGCCTCTTCTTTCCCTTCTGTCTCCTACTGTGTCCAGCAAACTAAAGTGCCCTTCACCCCCGAGGACACCGGTGCCACTCAGGGCCTCACTATGTCAGTCTCTAACTCCTTTCTCAACCGGCACAGCTCCTTTCCTGTGCACTCGGTGAGTTGCTCTCCGCGCTGCTGTAACCCGTGTGTGTGTTTGTGCTACTGAAATTTGCTTGGGTGAATTAGTAAGTTTCACGTGTGGGCTTTTGAACTCACGTGGGAGCAATAACTGAAGTAAGAAAAAGTGTATTCCCAAAACTGCACGCTGGTTTTCCTCAGTCGCACAATGTCGGTGATGTGGACGAGTCAATTAAATGCTGCTGGGTGGATGTGGCCTTTGGAGAAATGAGGAGATGCTATCACTGCAGCACAGAGGCTTAGGCAAATGTGTGGAACAGCAGCTACAGCGCCTCGATTTTCTCCTAGAAAGTGGCCTCTACCAGCTCTTTCATCTCATATTTGCTTGTGTGCTTCCCTTCACGTCCCTGCAGTCCCAAAGAAGCTCAATAACCCTCCGTGGTTTCCTGGTGAACGAGCAGGGGATTCTCTCTTAGACAGCCCTTCTGCAAGGTCTGAAGGGAGAACCACAGGAGAGGCTGAGAATGATTGAAATCAAAATCAGAATAATCTTAGAGCGCTGCGTAAATCAGTCACCAGCAGTTTAAATAAAGGAGAAGTGTTAATGTAAGGAAATCAAACCTAACTGTGACATTTCAGCAGCACATCAATATGGGGCTTGTCGGTATATAAAACTATATGCTGAGGCTCTTATAGCCTTCATGCTGACAACGAAGAACAGGCTATTTTTAAGTGACCTGGATGTTCAGTAGATTAGACTACTTCTACAGAAGAAATTACCAGGCAAGACTTAGGCAAATTCAGAAGTGTTAAATTAGTTTAATATTGAATACTTGAAAGCTGTTTTATATCAATGTGTCACTGCTGTCTTCCCATTTCAACACTTAATTCCCTAAAAATTAGTGACAGCGATGGTATGCCCTGGGTGTGAAGAAGAAAATGCTTGAGTACTTTACAAGCAGTGTTACTTCATGAGCAGTGAATTAAAGCATTGGCTTCCACTTGAATGACAAAGAGCAGTATCATAATTTTGTTGCACAGACGGAAAGGCCGAGGTGTGGAAATGTCAGTGGACTTGCCTAGATCTGTGGTAAGCAAGTTGTAAAGAAATAGAAAAGAAAAAAAAAAAGAATTATGCAGCTCTCTGATAATGATCCTTATGAGCAAAGCACAGACCTGTAAGATTCTGTGCAGGTAAAAAGCAATTCACTGTTTTGCTTTAAACAAAAGTTTATAAATATGGTATTATTAAGATCTAAAAAGCATGGACACTTTTACTTTAAAAAGTGTCTTGGTTAGATTTAAATGGTCGCTGTGTGCTTAACTGTTCTGACCTATTCTCATTTTGCTTTGAACAACATTATTTTAAATATATTATTTTACTGAAATGTTAAAACTTCATTATGAATCCTCACTTGTTTTTGCAAGGCTCTGCTGTGAGAAAATAAATGACTAGAGCATAAGAGACAAGGAAAACAACTACTGTCAAATGCACAAAGGAAATAAGCTGAATTAAAAAGGGCAATTTTTTTCCATTAATGCCCTTAAATTATGGTAATCTCTGTAGTTGCTCATGACTTGAGCTGGTGCATTTTTCACAGACAGAAATGAGATTTTCGCTTTGACAGCGTTTGTCCGTGAGCTGCAAAATACCAAGGCCCTTACATGCTTCCTAGCTGACCCACATAATACCGTAACGGCGCTTGATCCCGTTTTCCCTATCCCTAATAAGACAGCAACGCGAAACAGCTGCTGGAGCCTGGATCATTCCCAGGGTGACACCCTCCCTCTCCCCGCTCACAAGGGCAAGATCCTCTCTTGCAACCTGCTCCTGCGCAGGGACCGGCGCTCGAGGAAGGATGCACCGCGAAGGCGTTAAGCGCAGTGCTGTTTTCTGCTCTCCTGCCACTCTCATGGCTTCATTTTTCCCTTTCTTCACCACAGAAAGTCCAAATAAGCACCATGAACAATAAAAATGCTGAAAGATAAGATGGTTTCTCCCCATTCCAGCCAGGGAGGTAATGCTTGGGACAGCAAGGCTTCTGCGTGCCAGCCAGCTGAGGAGCGGGTATCCAAGTAATCAATGGTGATTAGCAAATCTCTTAAAATGATCCATCGCCTGCATTAATCCCTAGCCATTCTGTGCGTGAAGCAAAAGGCTCCTTAAATCAATACCAGGAAGTCAAAGCTAATGAAGAAATGAAATGGCTGTCCATTAGCTCGGGCGCGCAGCGCACCGCGGGTTCCCCGAGCACAGCCCCATTCCAGCAGGCGCCCGCGCTGGTTTCTCCCTGGAGTCCGGCCTGGGATGTGGGACAGCCGGGAGCAATCCCAGCGGGAATGCCCGTTCCCTTACCACGCTGGTCATGGGAAGGCCGCAGGACAGCTCAGCTTCTGTGTGCTTAGCCCACTGTGTCCATACTCCACATGAAGGACATAGCTCCTCACTGCCGATTTAAGGGGTTTCAGTGCCAGTGTTTTGAAGCAAAAATGAGGTGGTGTTCAGGGCAGCTTTGCTCTTTTCTTTTTTAATTTGCAATATATGATTTTTTTCCCCAGAACCCAGACATTTTCTCTCTGTTCAGAGCTGCAGACACTGCTGCACTCCAGGAGCCACTGCTGTTCTGTCAAGCCACTTAATCCCTGCTCTTCCCTGTCTTTGCAGGAAATGGTGTCAGAGGGAATAGCTTTTACCAGATAGGGGCCGATCTTGAGCAACTGGATCAAACCTCA